TATTTTTTATTTTATATTTGTATTTTTTGCTTTCAGATTAACGACCATGCCTCGTCTGCAGTCGGCCTTGAAAAAACTTCTGTTTTTGACGTCTATCGGAATTGTGATATACTTGTTATCTTCATTTACACTGTTGTTTGGGAAGCAAAGACGGTTGACACATTTGGAGCTATCCGGACCCAATACTAGTGCATATTTAGTAAACATGCCATCGTGCAAAATACCTAACATCGATCCCTTTGATATTTCAATCCGCCATCTTGTTAGCCGTGGCGGTCCCCAGATATGTCCAAATCGGGTACCTCTGACGTTCCAGAGAGAAACTACACTATTTATAAACTGGACTGCTGTAAAGGAACCACCTTATTATGGAGACCTTAAGTATTGTACGTTTACGCCAATTTATCGACCGAAAAATGAAGAGACTGATCACGATTTCATAAGATATCTCGAAGAAAGTGAACCATTTAATGGCACTCTCAGCGTGAAGGACGACTTTATACGGGTAGCATGCTACAATTCTAGCGATTTTAAAATATACGTTAACTTTCATGCATTCATTCACCGCAGTACAACAGACAGTGTTGTACGAAGCCGGAGATTCCGAGAATATGCGCAATCACAGACTGCAGAAACCTTAAATGTTCTGATGATAGGAATCGATTCTGTCTCTAGGCTTAATTCCATTCGACAGTTAGAAAATACGAGAAAGCTCCTCTTAGATGAATTAGACGCAATAGAGATGAATGGCTACACCAAAGTTGCCGACAATACCTTTGTCAATATTGTTCCAATGACAATGGGCCATTTCGTATCAGACCTGCAGAATAAGGAAACAAATGTTAATGGTCCATTTGATGATTATAACTTCATATGGAAACAGTTTGCGAGTCATGGATACAGGACACTATACGCTGAAGATGCACCTGAGATCGCTATATTTGATTACAAGAAAAACGGTTTCAGAATTCCTCCGGCTGATTACTATAATCGTCCTTTCAGTCTCGCACTGGAACTGCAACAGTCTTTGTGGTTTAATAATCACAACTGCTTTCAAGATCGACTAGAAACCGAAATTGTTATTAACTATGTATATGATTTCATAGATACATTTAGGTCTGGTCCTTATTTTGGTTTCACTTTTATAACGAGGCTAACACATGACGATATTAATAGCGCCGGCGCTGCTGATGAACCTTATTCCAAGTTTTTTGAAAAGTTAAAGAAGGAAGGGCTTCTTCATAATACTGTACTATTCTTTTACAGTGATCATGGAATTAGATTCGGTAGAATACGTGAAACATTTATAGGAAGGGTGGAGGAACGCCTGCCATTTATGTTTATTGTTGTGCCGAAATGGCTGCGTGAAAAATACCCATATATTACAAAAAATCTTAAACTCAACCAAAACAGACTATCAACGCCATTTGATGTCTATGAAACTCTGCAAGACATCCTGTATTTTAAACCAAAAGAGATGCCCACAGATCCGACTGCGCGAGGCGTAAGTTGGTTCAGGGAGATTCCCATTGATCGAGGATGTGACGAGGCTAGTATTCTTCCGCACTGGTGCATGTGCAGACAGCGGCATCAATTACCAGTTAGTGATAAAATAGTTCAAAGAACAGCATTCACTCTTTATAATGAAGTGACTCAAATTATTTCACAATATCCACATCTCTGTGAACATCTTACTCTTTCTGAGATTATAAATGCACTAAAACTTTCCGCATCGATTGATTTCCCCGAGTCCAAGGAAAAAAATTCATTTGAAGATATCCAAATTGTGATTCGAACCACCCCAGGAAACGCCCTTCTCGAAGCTACTGTCCGTATTGACCTTGACACAGAGACATATAAAGTGGTAGGAGATATCAGCCGGATAAACATGTACGGTCACCAAGCGGACTGTATTGAAGATTTCAAACTGAAGAAATTTTGTCAGTGTAAAGACTTCCAGGATGGACAGACAGACCTTAAAAGAAATCAACTAACCATAAATATGAAGAGTCAAAAATAATGTTGCTGTTGAATATGTAGATACATTAGCATTTTTAAACACGCAACCAAAACCAAGCACTTGGTATTCTGAATATAACATCCGTTTAACGAACATCAACTATCAACTTTATTATATGTCTCCTGTGCTATTAAAATAATAAACCTATACCACTTTCGTTATTAGATGAAATGATCATGGTTGGGTATTTATCGATGTGTAAATTTTAACTAATCACTCCCAAAATAAATAAAGTCCGAAGAACTTTATGTAAACTTTGTGAGTGATTAGGTAAGATTAACACATCGATAAATACCTAGCGATGATCATTTAATCCTTATAATTCCAATTTACTTTCATTTAAACACCAGATCAGCAGATTTAATCAACAAAACATTCACTTTTATGTACATCGAAGTTGCCTTTCATTAGCCTCTTAAGTGCGATAGAGTTCCTAGCCCAAACTTCGCATTGTTTTAACTTCTAATAGTCGATTTCAAGCTGTGGCTTGTCATTTTGATCGGAAATCTCGGAGTGGGTGGGTGGGAGCTTGATGTTATTATTATGATGTAAGGCATTTTCACATCAGACGATCTGAAAATAGGGAATCAAAAGTAGTCCACATAATTTCTCGATGTGTAAAAAATTCCAGTTCAGTATCACGTGACCGTTTACATTCAATCAAAACGTAGAAAGCGCAGTCATTTCATAAAAATTGGAATTATATATATATATATATATATATATATATATATATATATATATATATATATATATCTTTATATATATATATATGTATATATATATATATATAATACATGTGATAACACCTCGAGACGTCAAAATGGCGTCATGTTATCATTAAAAGGTGGTAATAATTGAGGTATTCGAATATATTTAAAAATTATTTCACGATACTATTCTGCCGTTTGGTAAAGAAAAATCAGCATTTTTTCTTCACACACAAACATTATTTTGCATTTGTGTTCGTTTAAAATCCAATTTATGAAACATGTCCAATAATTTCAATCTTTTGCTCGCCATGTTGCGCAATATGATCACCCACGTAAGATACCATGTATATGGAAACTTGTCGATGTTTACATGGATTATGATATAATGAATCTTGTCTAAATCAAGGGCTTTACATATTTCATACAGGACTAAGTAGGTACGTAAAAAAACAGATGCTTAACAAGGCAAAAGCAAGAAAATAGATTGGTATGTATGTTTGTATGTATGTATGTATGTATGTATGTATGTATGTATGTATGTATGTATGTATGTATGCATGTATGTATGTATGTATGTATGTATGTATGTATGTATGTATGTATGTATGTATGTATGTATGTATGTGTTATGAGGGAAAATTTAAGTATAAATAAGCACATGAGAAATCTCTCTAAATTGTATTAAAACTAACTCTTTTTTGGACTCATTTTCATTAAACTATATTGTATGTATGTATGTATGTATGTATGTATGTATGTATGTATGTATGTATGTATGTATGTATGTATGTATGTATGTATGTATGTGTTATGAGGGAAAATTTAAGTATAAATAAGCACATGAGAAATCTCTCTAAATTGTATTAAAACTAACTCTTTTTTGGACTCATTTTCATTAAACTATATTGTATGTATGTATGTATGTATGTATGTATGTATGTATGTATGTATGTATGTATGTATGTATGTATGTATGTATGTATGTATGTATTTTTCCTCATATAATATCTAAGTACAACATAAAACACGTGTGCATATTTTTGTTACAATAGGAACACAAGAAATAAGAATGACTCCAAAATAGGGATGAAATCTGATTGCTCAGTTCTCTCCTTATATTCATCTACTATTACAACTATATTTCGAAACATACACACACACACTGTGACAAAAGATGCTATCCATTCTAATGTTTCAAAATGCCTATTCATGTGACCTAACTCATCCAATAAGAAGTAACTTAATTTTTCTATGATACCACCTGACCGATCCGTCCAATGCAAAAAAGGCCGAATCTCGTTTGCATGTTTGCTAATAATTCTATTATTAGCAACCGTCAAGAAGAATATTAGCACTTTTTCATCTATCCTACGCAATTTTGCGTTCTTTAATAGCTTAGAATAAACCCCATGCACCAACGCCACCAACTAACGATAATCTGTGCCATTTACAGCCATCAATACATATTACAAAAATTAGATAAAATCATGTAACAATAAATTTAGTTTATTTACTTGCGTAAGTTAATGTTTAAATCAAGCTTTTATATACGGTGGATTCAATGCTACAGGTTTACCGCACAAACCCATCCACCAACCCACCTGCTATCTACTGATAAATACCTTTAGTTTTACTTTTTGTTGTTGTTGATGTTGTTCTCGCTCTTGTCTTGGGGTTTTAGCCACTTGTCTTGGTATGATATCTGATACACGGCATAACAAGCCCTTTTGATGGTAAATTGGTCATATTCAGACAGACGAGAAAATTTTTTCTCCATTTTCTTTCGTGACTCGGGTCAAAAAATGTCTGCCAAAATATTATTTGAAAACATAAAATTCCAGAAGGTGGGGTTAAAAAAATTCCCAAGATCGCAGTCAGTCATTAAAGAGAATATTGCACACTAATTACATGGGCTTATTTGGACCAATCAGAATCACATCAAGTGATATGATCACATGTTATAAAAAATATTAGACTGCACACACGATAGATAAAGTGTACCGACTATGTAATAAAATGGAGTATATTTTGCTGATGTGATGAGATTATGATTTTTAATAATTTCTCAGTCATATCGCAACGATGTATGCAGTGTGGCAGTTTATAGTGATGTATAGCACTGGGGAATCATGCCGCAGAAATGTGGCATGATGTCCCAACCATTCACCCTTATCCTGACGCCAGACCAACCAGTCTTAACACTAACCTCTTAATACTGAGCGTAAAGCGAGGCAGCTGTTAGTACCCTTTTTTGTAAGTCTTTGGTATGACTCAACTGGGAATAGAACCCACGACCTCCCGCATCTGAGGCGGACGCTCTAACCACTAGGCCACCGGAGCGGTTCCGTTTTGTTGAAATGAAAAAAAAAATCTTGAGCATGTAGGGGCAGTGTTTTGTGTAGATAATATGTAGAAGATACACTGAATAACATACGTACGTATCTCAGTTACAGAACATTTACTTCATTTGTAAATGATTGAATATTATATATATATATATATATATATATATATATATATATATATATATATATATATATATATATATATATATATATATATATATATATATTAATCCGATGTAATGTCATTAATGTACAGGAATTTCACTAATAATTATGCCCAACCAAGATTTTTGTATATGTGGGCCCATTTACCAAGTTTCTCTAAATGCATTTAAATATATAGTCTCTGGAATGGCAAATATTTTCTGTATAAAGATAGAGGATAACCTCATAAGAATGCATGCCGCTCTTTCATAGAAAGAACATCCATCATCAACAGCACTTTCTTTTGCACAAATAATAATTTAAGTTTCCAAAGTGTTGACAGTCTCAACCAAACAGATGCAAAATCACCTTCGTAATATTCATAAAATTTGCTCATAATGCAGTCTCGAGGATGGTAGTAGGTCGAATCAATCGCATTCGAGGTCACCTTATTATTTTCCGTCTATCCCTCGCAGTTATTGAATGTTTGCCACATTTTGATCGTATTAGCCTATATTTGAAGCTTGATCAAAATCAGATTTTTTTTAAGAACCCATGACTTAAAGAGTTTTAGCAAGCTCAGCCAGTCAAATGCAATAATACCTTATTATTATGCAAGGATCCCACTCATTTTCCACCATCTTGACAATGTAGGACTGTATACCAATTTTGATCAAAATCGGATGACAGTTATAGCATCCAGAGCGATAGTAAGCTCAGCCACACGTCGACATTATCCATGGATTTCGCTTATTATCATGCATATATTTCAAGTTTGATCAAAGCCAATTAGAAATATGACTTCCAAAATTGACAGCAAGCTCATCCAATCAGATCCAAGATAATCTCGTGTGTGTGAGAGTGTGTGTGTGTGTGTGTGTGTGTGTGTATATATATATATATATATATATATATATATATATATATATATATATGTATTTATTTATATATATATCTAAATATCTAAATATATATATATATATATAAAGAGAGAGAGAACAAACTATCGAACAAATGAAAAATTTAATATTTTTCTATTTATCTCTCAATGCAAATTTTCAAGAAGTTGATTATAAGTGTATACCTTGATGATTTATCATATTTTTGTTGCTACAGCATCACGTGCCTGCAGAGCAAAAGCAAAAACAAAAAAAAAAACTTCAATAAACATTCAGTTTGAATTGATTCTGTAATCATACAGTTGTTTGTTGCAGTTACTCATTCGCAGCAACAGTGACCACTAAGGATTGAATACGGCATCACCGTCGTATGAAACATTGGTACACATGCTCACCTGCACACTCATAGCAGTTATTTCAAACGACTTCGAAATGTTTGGATTTAGTCAACTTTGAGTTGTATTCAAGAAAAACTGCTTCTTCTAATGATTTTAAGAAACAAGTGTTCCGTATTTGCAGCTAAAAAGCGAGTTAATTTCAACGAATAGTTCATTATGTGATCACTTCATGCCCTATGGCAATAACATATAGTGTGATGACCAGCGTGTGGATATAAACCGGATCTGGATTGAATCAAGCTGATATCAACGAATCTTCAACCCGCTATAAATACTGTTAGGGTTAGTCTGTGTCCACTTATTCTGTGCACATCCTATACTTAACTTTCAATTTACTTTACAGGAAAAATAAACCACGTGATTATCTTCGACAGGCTAATTCTTTGAATATTCATGAACAAAACAATAGCAAAAGAACAAACAAAAACCATAACTTTTAATATTAAAAATATGTAGTTAGTCATCAAAGAAAAGTTTTGCTAATGATGATGTGGTTAAGGGGTGTATCTTAAAGGGTTATGATATGGTACCTGAAGCATATCAACAAAGATTTAGGAATTCTAGGGGAAAAAAAACCTGGACAAACCATTGTCAAATTTTCAAGGGATAACCAATAACAATTTTATAAGTGAAGTTCAGCATAGAATGTTGATCAAGAATACAATGATCTCAGACAAAGCATATTGGTTGGTATATAATTGGATCCACAGTGACGTCATGAATTAATTTGATAGACAAACGGTTGAAACATTAGAAACATTTGCTCGTACTGCTGCTGCTGATTATTCTTTGACTCAGTTTCATTTGTTAATAAGCCTTCATCTCAGCAGTTTTTGTTTTAAAAAACATTCAAGACTCTTTTGAATCATTCCAAATCTCAATCTGGCATAACTGTTAGGAATGAAACTTCTGATATAACTTATCAGAAATTATTATCTTTTTCTTATGCATGTATTGTAAGAGGAAATGGAAGGTTATATCTGATTGCTACCAACTGAAAAATAAGCAACATAGTAACGATTTTATTTATTTTAACGTTTTTATATCAAAGTGGTGAAGGTCACATCATTATATTGAAAGCAATACATTAGTTGGGTCAAACAAACCCGTCAAATTTTATTATGGTGAGTTAGGAGCCATTCATGTCCAGAGGTCTTATACCACTTATTGGTGATTCTGCCAAGTCTATCATTTTTAAAATATTAACAGACACGGGTTCTGCAGAATCTTTCATTCTAAGGTATTTTGTCATCACTCATAAGTCTTCTTCTAGAAAGTGTTCTTATTCAGGGCTTAGAGTGCGGCTTTGTTATTATTCCTCTCTTTGTGTACATCTAACCGCTCCGGTGGCCTAGTGGTTAGAGCGTCCGCTTCGGATGCGGCAGGTCATGGGTTCGATCCCCTGTCGAGTCATACCAAAGACTTACAAAAATGGTACTAATAGCTGCCTCGCTTGGCGTTTAGCATTAAGAGGTTAGTTTTAGGACTGGTTGGCCTGGTGTCAGGATAATGTGACTGGATGGGACATCATGCTACATGTCTGCGGCATGATGCCCCAGTGCTAGACATCACTATAAACTGCCACACTGCAGACATCGTAGCGATATGACTGACAAATTGTTAAAGCTACGTAAAAAATCATAATCACATAATCACTTTGTGTACATTTGTCTCCAGATTTAGTCTTGGGTCTAGTGACGGTTGGGCGCTTCAGGGAATTCATTTAGTGCTAGACAAGGACCTAGATGAGGATATGGTTGTGGTTAATCCACTTACAACTGACAAGCTTTGTTTGGATCAGAAGGTTGATTTTGTGGCAATTGAAATCTCTTATTTATACCCTGCTTGCACAAGTAATAGAGCTATGGCAAACAGAGCTCTTGGGAATGACGTCGATAATGAAGTTATTCCTTTTGCTGACACATTTATTGGTCAGTTTACCAGGCCACTTTTGCTCCTGGTACTGACCAGTTAAGAGGTATTGATCATAGGGATCCTCTATGTACTTCTTATGCTCTTTATTCTAACCAGGGTGACATAAGGCAATCACTCATTGTCGAACATGAACAAACATCTTGAGATCTCATATCTGTTGCAGATTTGCAAAACTGAAGCCACATAAGTTCCAGTTTGTTATTTTATGACAAATGGGGTCCTAATTAGAAAATGGAGACCACCTTAGGTACCCGCTGGTGACGTGTGGTCAGTGAGCTACCAAATTATTGTTCCTAAGTCACATAGACAGGAACTTCTTATTCTCGCCTATGAATTGTTTTCATTGGTCAAAAATTAAAGTGATGTTTCTAAATACTGTAGATCTTGTCACACCTGTTAAACGTAGGAGAATCCGTTCATAAGGTGTCGTAGGCACATCTCCAACCTATTCCTGCAGCTGACGAACCATTAGCAGAAAAATGGTAGACTGTGACTGTCCCTTACCTAAGATGGAGTCAGGCAAGCAATACTTCTTGATCATAATGTGTACGTACACAAGATTTCAAGAGACAATTCCTTTGAGGAATTTAAAAACTAAAACCATATGAAAGCTTTAAAGTTTTTCCTATACACTTTTTGGACTTCCCAAATCTGTCCAGTCTGATCAAAGATAAAATTTTATATCTGGAATTTTCAAAAAATGTATTGCGTGAATTAGGCATCCTGCTGTTGAAATCTTCTGCCTATCACCCTGAAAGTTAAGGGAATTTAGAAAAAATTAGGCCATTATGGAATGATCCCGGAAAAGATTGTGATAAGGCTGTGTATTTACTGTTGTTTGCTGTTAGGAAATTATTTAAAGAATCAATGTCTTACTTCTTTTGAACTTTTTTTTTGGAAAACCTCTCCGTGGACCAATGAAGGTATTAAAAGTGAAACTTCTTTCAACCGAACATTTAGAAATTAAACTTCTTGGCCATGTCTCTGATTTCAAATACAACCTATCAAAGCGTATGACTTAGCAAAAATTCATCTTGACTCAGTCAAAAAAGTAATTAAGTTATGACGGAACTATCTAGGAAAGAAATTTTCAACTTATTGATGGACTTATGGCTCTCTTGTACATACCTCAAATTCCTCTTTAGGCTAAACGTAATGGTCCTTATACGTTTGAAAAGAAAGCATGTGACTTAAATTATATCATTAACATTCTTTGAAGCAGAAAACAGAAACAACTTTGCCATATAAGTATGTTAAAAGAGGAAATTCAGAGAGATAGCCGTGTTAATCTTCAGTCGGTTTAGTTTTATCTGTCCCACACAGGCATGATTTAAATGATGGTATGTAATCGAACTGTAGTGACTTTATTTTGATCCTTCTTTGAAATCGGAAATAATAAACAATCTGGACTGGAAACTGTCGCATTTACAACCACAAGAAAAGAATAAACTAAAAGAAATATTATGTGGATATGATCATTTTTTTCCTGATGTTAATATATGAACAATTAAAATCTACCATGACGATGATCTATAGATTCTCTGCCTGTAAAACTGAATCATTACTGGATGAATCATCTTAAACAAAATAATGTTTGAAAAAAGGAATTCAGTATTTGC